CCGATGTCGGAGCTCGCGCGAATGGATTCGTTCCACAGGACCCAGCTAAGGAGCATCATCGACATGCGGTACCCTAAACGAATTAGCAATGACACTCTGTATAAGCGCTGCGGAGCTGTCCCCATCAGCGAGATGATCACAAGGCAGCGCTACAGTCTCGCTGGCCATATCTTTCGTTTGGCCCCAACTGCTCCTCCACAGTTGGCAGTGGATATGTATCTTCGCCTGGCCAACGACGAGGGCACTGAACGCTTCAGGGGTCGACCTCGGACGACTTTGGTAACGGTCTTGCAGACGGAACTGTTATCATGGCATGGACTTACCCTCCACCAGCCGCTAGATGTTGACGCAGTCCGCACAATGGCAGCGGACCGACAGGCATGGCGTGGAGCCCGCCCCACCTAACAGGACTGACCAGACATGTTGTATGCATATTCTATTTTATTTTATACTTTGGATGAAGTTTTCCATTAGTCATATTGGTGTTGTTGCTAACGGCTTTTGTTGACGTCACTTCTGTCATTTTATTGTATCGTATTACTCTTCAGACATCAATCCTGAATGGCATAAGCGAAAGTGGCACCCCCGCCACCTACGCGGACATGCTTTTAATAATAATAATAATAATATCTCTATAACATGACCCAGCTGTAATGTCAGTGGTGGCATTGATTTGATTTTTGGTTTGCTTGTAGGGCGCTGGCACCCACATTCAGCAACTAAAAAATTTGGCACTGCTGTGAATAGTTTAGTCGCAAGGTGAAGATTCACGGGTAAAAAGCCCCAAACTGTGAGATAGGTTATTTTTCAGCTTTCAGCAGCCCTGGGCGAGTTCTTTAGAGAAATGTGGCTGTTTTTCTTGGTGCATTTTTCTATGTCCAGCTACACAAGGAGATGAGGATGGTCATTGTCATTTTCTGAGCTGCGAACGGGCAGAAAGGTGAGAAAATGTGGGATTTTGACCATTTGTGCTGACCTTTCAATTTCAATGTACCACTCTATAACATGACCCAGCTGTAATGTCAGTGGTCGCATCGATTTGATTTTTGGTTTTCTTGGAGTTCGCTTGCACCCACATTTAGTGACCGAGAAAATTTGGCACTGCTGTGAATAGTGTAGTCGCAAAGTGAAGATTCACGGGTAAAAAGCCCCAAACTGTGAGATAGGTTATTTTTCAGCTTTCAGCAGCCCTGGGCGAGTTCTTTAGAGAAATGTGGCTGTTCTTCATGGTGCACTTGTCTATGTCCAGCTACACAAGGACATGATGATGGTCATTGTCATTTTCTGAGCTGCGAACGGGCAGAAAGGTGAGAAAATGTGGGATTTTGACCATTTGTGCTGACCTTTGAATTTCAATGTACCTCTCTATAACATGACCCAGCTGCATTGTCAGTGGTAGCATTGATTTGACTTTTTGGTTGCTTGGAGGGCGCTGGCACCCACATTCAGTGACACAGAAAATTTGGCACTGCTGTAAATAGTTTAGTCGCAAAGTGAAGATTCACGGGTAAAAAGCCCCAATTTGTGAGATACGGTATTTTCAGCTTTCAGCAGCCCTGGGCGAGTTCTTTTGAGAAATGTGGTTCTTTTTCTTGGTGCACTTGTCTATATACAGCTCCACAAGGAGATGAGGATGGTCATTGTCTTTTACTGAGCTATGAACAGGTGGAAAGGTGAGAAAATGTCGGATTTTGACCATTTGTGCTGACCTTTGAATTTCAATGTACCTCTCTATAACATGACCCAGCTGTAATATCAGTGGTCGCATCGATTTGATTTTTGGTTTGCTTAGATTGCGCTGGCACCCACATTCAGTGACCCAGAAAATTTGGCACGGCTGTGAATAGTTTAGTCTCAAAGTGAAGATTCACCTGTAAAATGCCCCAATATGTGAGATAAGTTATTTTTCAGCTTTCAGCAGCCCTGGGCGAATTCTTTAGAGAAATGTGGCTCTTTTTCTTGGTGCACTTGTCTGTGTCCAGCTACACAAGGAGATGAGGATGGTCATTGTCATTTTTTGAGCTGCGAACGGGCAGAAAGGTGAGATAATGTCGGATTTTGACCATTTGTGCTGACCTTTGAATTTCAATGTACCTCTCTATAACATGACCCAGCTGCATTTTCAGTGGTCGCATTGATTTGACTTTGGGGTTGCTTGGAGGGCGCTGGCACCCACATTCAGTGACCCAGAAAATTTGGCACTGCTGTGAATAGTTAAGTCGCAAAGTGAAGATCCAAGTGTCGCTCTTAGTATCTCTGGATACACCACCTTTCGGCGTGATCGACCTCCTAACGAAAACAAGTCTGGTACCGCCTCCAGGGGATATGGTGGAGTCCCTATTGTCGTTCGTGATCATCGTTTCAGTTGTATCCAACTTCGCAACGACCTCAGTCGCCCTACCTGTGAAACAGTGTGGGTGGAGCTTAAACCTTGTTCCGGCTCCCCAAAGCCTATTATTGTCTGTAGTGCCTATCGCCCACCCTCTGCCAAAATCCCAGAGATAAATCACTTCTGTAACATGCTCACCGGTGCCCTGGTCACTATCCCCATGTCCTCGTACCACGTCATACTGACTGGAGACTTCAACTGTAAGCACCAGCACTGGTGCCCAACTGACTCAACGTCCCCCGCGGGAGCTGCGCTCTACCGCCACCTCACCTGCTTCGGACTAGAGCAGCTTGTGAATACCCCATTGCACAAAACACCTGCAGGGACCCAGTCGTGCTTAGACCTTCTCTTCGTCAACAACCCCCAGCTTGCAACGGATATTAACACGACTTGCGCTCTTGGATCCTCGGATCATCTGACCGTGTCATGTCGGTTCGAGCTCTCACCATCGCCTGGCCAACATCTGCAGCAAGCACCACGCAAACATTCCCTTACCGCTATCGTCATGTCCCCTCTCACTGCTGGGACTCTCTTAATTCCGATCTCTCTCATTGTGCCTGGTCATTTCTACGCCCAGGCAACTCCCCAACTGTTGACGACGCAGTCGATCGATTTTCAATCGTCCTGGAACAAACCTTCCAGCACCACCTCGCTGATTTTTCCACCCATTCTTGTCGGTCAAACACACGCACATCGTCTGTGACATCCAATCCACCCTGGGTGTCGACTGTCCTCGTATCTGCGGTGAAACGTAAACGAGACCTCTTCAGTGTCAGCCGAAAATTTCCAACACCTGTCAATATGGAGGCCTACCGAGTTCAACGCAACTTTGTCAAATACCTATCCCGTAAAACCTACCGCTCTTACATCAGCTCCCTCTCTGCAACAATCTCATCACCCAATCGTCCTTCTCTCTATCAGTTCATTCGCACCCAGCGTCCCAGTGTCTCTCGCGCCCCAATCCAGTGCTTGATTGATCCTGATGGCAACAGTCAGTCTGAGGCAAAGTCCATTGCGAACACTCTGAACAAACAGTTTGTCTCTCCCGGCCTTCCCGACGATCCGAACTGGGTTATCCCACCCCTGCACCCAGCTCCAGAGCTGCGCGCTCCACTTCTGGAGGTCTTTACAACAACTGGTGTGGTCCGCAAACAACTGAAACGTCTTAAGAGCTGCAAGTCTCCTGGAAAAGACGGTATTCCAAATGAAGTCCTTAAACTGCTGGTGCCTTCCTTGTCGTATCCCCTGTGCTTGCTATTCAACTTGTCATATCGTGCAGGAGTCTTCCCATCTGCGTGGAAATCTGCTATTGTTGTCCCGATATTTAAGAAAGGACGACGCTCCCAAGCTGTTAATTACAGGCCCATCTCTCTCCTACCAACTATATCCAAGGTCTGTGAACGCATCTTCTATGAATCTCTCTACCACCATGTCACCCCTGCCCTCTCCTCTGCACAATCCGGCTTCTGTCGTGGCGACTCAACTACTTTGCAATTGACACGTTTAATCCAGGATATTTACGGACATCGTAACCTGAAGAAGCATGTAGGTCTTGTCTTTTTTGATCTGTCAAAAGCGTTCGATACAGTCTGGCATCGAGGCCTACTTGCAAAGCTTGAGTACATTTTTCTAGTACGTGGTACAGCTCTGCAGTGGCTGTCGTCATATTTGTCGTACCGTCATCAAACTGTCCGTGTCTCTGCTTCCTTGTCCGATCCTTTACCTCTAGTGTCTGGTGTTCCACAGGGGTCCATACTGGGTCCACTCCTTTTCCTAACTTATGTGAACGATCTGCCCTCTCTAGTTCGAGACGTCAGCCTTTTTGCTGATGACACTGCACTGTTGTGCTCTGACAGCTCGCCGTCCAACCTCGTTACCTCCATGCAGACTGGCATTAACTCCACCATAGCATGGATGGAAGCTTGGAAGCTGAGGCCCAACATCGCG